TCCTTTACGCCAGATTTCCGTGTTGCTAAATCTGCCTCCTGCCCCCGGTTCCAGGTATCGCGTCCGGAGGAGCTCGTCCCCGGCAGGTGTCGGGGCCAGGACGCGCTGGCCCAGGAGCCTGCCAGGTACTGTAATTCCTCGCAGCATCGCTTTTAAAATCCAGTATCTTACCTGTGCGTCAAAGCTACTGAATTGTTTAAGATCATTGTGTTCTCACAGCTTGTGTGTGTGTTTGGTGGGTTTTTTTTTCTTTCTCTTCCGACTTCTGGAAGTTGTTATTAAAACAACGCTAATCAGGATGGGAAACATGCTTGCTACCTGCACACCTGATAAGCTCCTGTAAATGCAGGGCAAGAGTGGGCTGTAGTAGTCCAATGTACTCAACGCGTGTAGGGTGAAAAATCACGAGGTTTTTTCGTTAGGGTCAGGGCATATCAGTAATCCTCTCTGTGCCATATTAACGGCATTTTGTTTCACACAAAACAATTTAAAAAATGCACTGAATTGGTAGCCCCAAAGGGGCAGGAGGTGGAATCAGAGTTTAAAAAACAGCTAGACAAACCCAGAAGACTTTCAAAAAGAAGATCTGGCAGCAAACACTGGAATGTAGAATTAAAAAAGAATCGTGGAAATATGCAATACCTTAGTAGTAGTGTGAACAAAAATATGTCCTAAACCCTAACCTAATGTGTTTTTAGTTTAAAAATGGGATTTCTTTGGATAATGGGAATCTAGTTATTCATTTTTGCGCATTTGTATTTGTTTGCTTTTTGCATTAGGTCTATATAGTCTTATTCTGACTTAAGCAATGCAAAATCAGCATGTGCCCATTGTATTGGAGAAATGAATCGTATTTGTACTGGAGTATCCTCTCTAGAGAAAATGGCATCACCCCTTAGAATATGCATGTAACTTCAATAGTCTTCTTGTACCAGTGGCTGCTGGGGAAGGATTGTTGTTTACCTTTGTGGTCACGTACCTTCTCTCTCTAAATAGTGTAATAGTAACTCCTGAAGCATGGAAGAAAATCTTAAATATGAGATCAAGACATACTTGAAGCAGAAAATAGCAATCCCTCTCTAATCACTTCAACCTCTGAAATACCAAATTCCCAGTTCTACCTTTATGCTGTGTTACTGAAGTCAGTAGAATTTTTCCTCTGGAATAATAATAGTGTTGTAATACCATTTTGAAGTGAGTGCAAGCATTTTTTTTATGTGGTCCCCTTCCTTTTGAAAAGTTGTCATTATATGTGCAGAACTTCTAAATACTTGCTTTTACCAAGTTTTGTTAGTTTTTTTTCTTAGCAATAGCAGATTTCATGATGCTGATTAATTTACAGTTGGTAGCAAATCAGTGAGTTTTAGGATATATGTTTAACTCATCTGTGTCAGCATCTTACGTCAGTATTGCATAATCTGTTGACTGTCCCCTTTTTATGTAATGTATGTTTGTAGTTTGTTTTAATATGTACAAATATTTTTTTCAGTGCGTGCTTCAGTTCAGATACTTCTCTCCATGTCTCTCCACTGCCCTCTTGAGTTAAAAGCCTGTAGGGCACCATTTTGATAGCTGGATGCAGCTGAACGTTACATATTTCTCTCTTTTGAAAACAGCCTGTATGACATATCGAGATTTTTTTTTTCAGGTAAGTTGTTTAGAGTGTTGAGTCATTTTTGGAGTTTCTCTTTCCTCCTGTTAGAAACATGAGTTAGCTGTACTAGTGAAGTCCAACATCTTAATAGGTTATTAGGTTTTTAAACATTATATTTAATTTTCACCTTGTAAAAGTGTTACACATTGAGAGATGGATTTTTTTTTTTAAAACTCATTTCTGAGCTCAATCTGTTTATTTGATGGTGTTAGCTGGGAGCGGGGTGGGGAAGGAACAGTGCCGTGGGATTTATTGCAATACCTGTTCATGACAAATACGTGTGTGTGTCACCTCTACTCCCCTCCGCCCTTTTTAATTAGTTTATAGTGCAATTCTTTAATTCACAAGCTTGTATCTGCATCCTGTGACCTAAAATGCCAGCCACATACTTGAAGCTCCTGAAGCCTCCAGACATCTCTTCTGCTTCCTCCAGCTGCAGTTGCTTCTGGGCGCAGCAGACTGTGGCGTCTGCCTAGTTTGGTGCTGCTCCCTCTGAAGCCATCGGTAGGCACAGCCATGGGCTTCTGCCACCCCAGCTCTAGAAACGTGTGTGACAAACTTTCATTAAGCCCAGCTGAACTTGTTTGCAGTACTGTAAAATTCCACGGTGCTGCTGCCTTGGTAAGAGCGTAGCATGCTCGGTGCAGCACAGTCGCGGTGCGGTGCTACCCTCGTACTCCCTCTGTTAATGGTCCCAGTCCTCAGCTGTTGCAAACTGCGTAGCTCCATTAACTTACCTGGCCCTTGGCCAGTTATACCCGCTCTCTGGCTCATGACATTCAATACACAAGTAGCATAAACATCAAATGCTGTTTTTCAGCTCCAGTGAATTTAAAGGAGGTGGGAAGGGAACACCCTCATTTTCTCTAGTGGCGTTTGCAAAGTGGGCACGTTACCCTTTCCCAGTTAAATCCCGCATTATTAGATTTGGCTTTTTAAGGCTGATTGGGCAGAAGAAGCTGCTACTTTTATTTCTTAAAAACACTTTGAGCTGCACTGAAGACACCACCTCGTTCATTAAGATACTACTTATTACCTGGAAAGCTGGACTGTAACCTCAGACATGAAGCTGCTTTTGTTAAATGATCATCAAGTTTCTGAGCCGTTCACCTGGTGATTGGGCATCTGTGTTTATCTCAAATGAAAAACACTCCATACAGGATGAGAAGACTGAGGAGTTGCCCGCTCGGCTCAGCGGAGTTACAGGGGGGATGTCGGTGGCTGCAATGACTGACAGGCTGCCCTGGCTCAGTTATCACAGTGCTGATGCTGTCTCTTGTAAAGGTACAGTACTGTGATAACTGAAGGATGGCAGCCATCTGAGCTTCACAGGGCTGCCGAGCCAAGCGCAGGGTTTCGCTTGGAGCTGGGGGACTGATGGACTTTACTTAAGCAAGTACGATGCAGCACAGTGCTGAAGTGGAAGATACTCATTTTAAGATACTCATATCTTAACTCAGCTGAAGAAGAAGGGGGAATTGGTGGTTAAGATGCTTCTAGTTTTACTCAAATAAAAATTATGCTTTATCTCTATTGAGAGTTTGCCTGTTAATTGACTCTTTTGGTTTGGAAGATCTTTCAGAAACGCTGCGCTTTGGAGCAGGGTCCTGTGTGGTTTGCTGGAGCATTAATAAAGCAGAGATGCGGGTTGCTGTCTACCAGAGGAACCAGGAATGACACTGTAGCTGTACAGAAAACCAAGCCCCCTTTTAAGCAGTCTCCTCGAGCTATTTAAAACAATTCCCTTGGTTCGAGTCTGCTCCGTACTGACAGGGGAGGGGGGTGTGGAAGGGAAAACAACCCCAAATAATGGAGAGGGCTCAGTGGGGCGGTCACAAGGTCAAATCCTTTCATCAAAGTATCTAGAAAGGCAAAGGTCTTCAGGGATTGTGTTTTTTGGCTGGAGCCAAGGTCTGTAATTTTTACGCCATGCGAGTTGAAAAGAAATACAACTTCTGTTTAGAGGCTGAGGTTTTTATATCCCATGTGCTCTTGGAGCCTTGCCCAGGCAGGGGACCTAGTGGGGGTGCTGTGTGCAGGTGTTGCAGTGCGAGGCTGCAGTGCTAGAAAGTTACAGCAGAGGGGCCCATTGGGTCAATTTGTGGTTGGGAGTGGTGAAGTGTGAGAGGGTTTTTTGCATAACATAGGCAGAGACCTGCAAACCCCTTAGCGTGGTGTCTGTGGCGTCCCTTCCCCAAATCCTCCCTGAGGAAGCATATGGCCCTCTGAGACTGCAGAGGCTGGCGGTTGGTGCAGCGGTTGCCAGAGGTCACACTTTATTCTTGATACCATCATCGTTAACTGGGGTCATTAGCCCAGTGGGGTCTAGCAAACACTTTCATCTGGGCTGGATGATTCATAATTGTCCAGTGACTTGCCCTGTGCTTTCCTACAAAGCTCTGGCTGTTGGTCACTGCCGGGGAGAGGAGCAGGGATTAGCTCAGCCAGTGGTCTGCTCCAGGGTGGCAATTATATGGCTTATGTGACTCCTCTGATCTTCCTTTACTGGATGGCGTTTCTGCCAGACCTTGCCGCTGGCTACGTCTGCGAGCCCGACGTGTCGGTGCCGTACAGCTGGGATGGAACGTTTTGCCAATGTGCGTCATTTAAACCGGGGAAAGTATTACTGGTATTGTGATAGTGGCCAGAGTCTGTTTCTGTACAAATGATAAAAAAGACATCCTGCTACCAAGAGTTTTAAGTTCTAGACAGATAAAAATCTAAGCTGAGTACTGCCAACCCTCAGCTTCCTTTTTGCCTCTCAGAAGTCTGAAAGGACCCCTTGACCTGGACTGAAATACACTCATAACTGGAAGGAGGTCGTCTCCTGCTGTGCAGTACCGTGGTGGTCTCCGGTTCAAACAGCAGCAACACGCGCACGCTCCTCCTTCACGTGACATGCAGCGCCAGCGTTCTGGTTAATGAGAAATGTGCAGAGGCGGAGTGGGAACTCCTGTAGGCTTGCAGGCTGGCCACTCCTGGTTTCTCTCTCCTTTTAGCTATTTTGGTTTTCATTTTGGGAGCCAGCAGGTGCTCGGAGAAGAAGCATCTCTTTTCCCGAGAGGAAGGCAGGTGATAGTGGAGTTCTTAAGCTGGAAGTGACAGGACCTGCAGCCAGGCCCTCCTGGAGTCCCTGCGTTCAGGACTGCTTTTGGAAGTCACTGATAAATACAGCGATGAAGGTAGTGATTCGTACTAGAAACTGAAAAGTTCTTTTCGGCTATCCTTCCCACAGGAAGTAAGGTAACTACTCAGAGGCAGATACAAATTTTGTTTTGGACCTGATCCAAGGAATAAGGCTCCTTACTTAATGAGCTTTGGATCAGATTTCTGGTTTAATAACCAACTCAAGTACTTTAGTGAGCGCTGCTAGCCGCACAACGTTAGCAAAGCTTCCCTATGTGTACCGCAGCACGCACCAAGTACTGGCGAAGGAGAGCAAAGCTGCCTGTTCAAATTATATGGGCCTCTAGGTTTCAGATTTTGATTCTCATTTCCTGTTAAAACAATTACAGGTTAGAGTATTCGTATGGGACAGGAACCGAAAACGCTGTCTGTGCTGGAAAACACCACCTCTCTCTGCATTAGATTTAATGGAAGCCTTTAATGTCCCTTTCTAGCTTGGTGGACATAGTCTCCAGCTCTTTTTCCTGTAGCTTCCTACGGATATCATAATTGATCAGACTTATTATAAATACTGGTGGGTTTGCTGTGTCTAAATATTGCTACACATGAACAATGCAGCTATCAAGTCTTTTTTGGCAGTGGAGCACTTCCTCCCACAAACTGTGTTAAAGAAAGATGTAAACAACATGCATACAATGATATGTCACATGACTTTCTACTCAGAAATAAGCTCTCTGAGGACCACCAATTTTCTGATAAGTTTCTGTATGTTATGGTTTTAATCCCAAGCAAAGGTAATTTTCTTCTGACACATTTCAGCTGTTGTTCCAGATGGATTTGTGCTGGTCCAGTGGTTCTCAGCCTTTTTCACCAGGAAAGTCCCTTTTCCCATCTGGAGGCCCTCCTCTTCCCACCCACGTTTTGCATGAGAAGAACAGCAGTTTTTTTTTTTGCTCCTGCGACATCTCCTCAGGGCTGCGAGGCTGCAGACGAGATGGTCTGTTCTGCTCCTGGCTCTCATCCATAAATGATCCTTTTAAGGGTAGAAGTTTGCTGTGAGCAAGCTGGCCAGCCAATATCTGCTTCTCTGACACCAACAAGATAAAATATTTCTATTTTCTGCTAGCACTGAACCTTGAAACCAGTTACAGATTTTGCCTTTGCCCAAAATATTTTTTAAAAATGTGACTCTTCTATTAGTGTACAGCCTAAAAACGTCAGTACCAAAAAGCTTCATTTTAGTAGTACTGAAAGTAGAAAGAATCCATCCCGACACAGTTTCAGACACAGTCGTCATCCCAAAATCCAATGATGCCCAGTGTGAATCAGACTGTGTTTTAATTATTGGTCATTCAAATGGTCTCTGACTAGTGCAAAACACTTCCACTTGAATTTTAATCCAGATCTTGATTTGACATTTGTACAACGCAGTTAGCATAATTGCAATGTTCTGATATGTGGAAGGATAAGATGTACCAGAATGTAACAATGACAAACTAGTTTTTAGGTCAGGTTAAGCAATTTCCGAATGTGAGTCTAGAAACGTTGGCCAAACTAAAATGAAAAGAAGCTGATAAAGACTTTGGTGAAGACTATTCATGTGACCAGAAATTTTACCACCTCAGCCCTTCAGCCTTTTTTTTTTCCCTTCAGAAGCAGAGGTAGCTCAGTTAAAGCTCCATGAAGTGCAGCACAATGGCTCGTGAAACCAATTCCATCTATCTTCAAGCTTGTTCCCCTGATAATGAAAGGAAACCGTCTTTCGGTTAACGGCGTGACAGTGTGCTGCTGTTAAACATTGTGAATATTGTGTGCAGAATCTGCTTTCTGAAGTCAAGTCAGGCCGTGACATGGGTTTCCCAGGGCAGAGCTGGGGAGGGCCATGTTTAGCTGTGGGACCATCTGAGGAAGAAGCAAACCGTGGGGGAGAGAAAACTGTAAGGCAGGGTGGGGACATAGATCCCGGAGAGACTGGCTAAGCCAAAAGTGAGGGAAATCAGGGCAGACAACCTTGCAGGGTAGGACTTGTACGGATTTGTCTCTTTTGCATCTTGCTGTATGCAAATACACCCTTTATGTCTGCTTGTCTTCACGAAGGCTTAACCCCTTCCAGGAAGCGGTAAACCAGAGAGCCTTTGGAGAGGCTGGGAGTTGCGGACACATACTGGGGATGGAGCTGGGATGCAGCATCCTACTCTGCTGAGGGTTTATAAAGAGAGCCCCTGTCCACAAGCTGTAGCAATGAGGCAGTGCTACACAGTCTCATGGGACCAGGGGCAGCCTGGAAGCTTTTGGAGCCAGTATCTTGGACTTGGACACAGCAGATAGTAGGGTTCCCCCTCCCAGACTCACCTTCTGCCCACAGAAGTGCAAAGGACTCTCTGGTGACTGTTCTCCATTGGCTCCGGTGCACCTCATACACCTACCCTTCACTAGCGCAATTAGATCCTAAAAAGAAAAGTATACAGTGTTGCCTACCAAAGCAGCACCTGAAATCACAGGTTGTTCATGGAAAATAAACAGTTTGCAAAGTTATTCACAAATAATTGTGACCAAATCAGCTCCAGATCTTCACGTCCTGCTTGCAAAAATGTCATGAACATAGAGGGAATTCATCATCATTCATTCATTACAAATATGCTCAACTGTGGCAATATCTTATTTTCTCTTTCTTAGCATTAAATTGGATTCATGTGTTGGAGTTGCATTCCCACTCTCACTATTCCCAGTGGAGTGCTGTGATTCTTGTGAGGCTTGCTTCTGTTTCCAGGTGAGAGGGTCCTTTTCCACCTAATGCAAACACTGTGCAGTAACATTAATGGCAATTACACATGCCCATTAACGGGAAAAGTAGGTCCCAGGCGTGCTATGTCAGCAAAGAATGACGCTCTCAGAAAAGATCATTTTTCCTTACTTTCTGCATAAAATATTTTTGACAAATCTCACATTTCAGAGATATCTGCTAACCAAGACTGAGCTGTTGCAACAAGAGCCAGGCACACAGAATGGTCAGCGCAATCAGGTGAACACACCAAACCCATGCACTTTTCTTCTAAGACCGCCTTGAGACACAGCCAGGCACTGGCTTCACCAAAAAAGAAAAAAAAAAAAAGGAGCATAAGGGATCTACTTGGACATGCCAGCGTTTTGGGTCCAAGGCTGGAACAATGCATGGATGGCAGGGAGGACTTCAACTCAGAATGAACCGGTCTGTGGCCTTTGGGGAGTGCTGGACATTTTTGAGCTGAGGCGCCGACAGCGATGTGGTTTGCTGAGCAGGGACCATGCACTGCATTGGTCAGCTCCTCCTGTGCCCAAGGCAGCAGTACTCTGCTCCTTTCTGCCGGAAATGAATAAAGGTATCTCAGGCCACCACTGACTGTTCCTCCTAGCCGGAGTGACATGCAAACC